CAGTTACCTTGAGCCGGGAGTGGTCGTTAGGGATGAGGTAGAGGTGAAGAGTCGTCTTTTCCATCCGGAAGGCCCAGTAGAGCAGCACAATAGCGTGGACCGGCACAGGGGGCTGGGGGCGATTCTCCCACACCACTCCATACAGGCAGAAGCTGGGGTTCTGCAGCACAACGTGGAACGGTTTCACCCGCGTTGGTTTCTCCAGGCCTTGAGCCGGGAGTGGTCGTTAGGGATGAGGTAGAGGTGAAGAGTCGTCTTTTCCATCCGGAAGGCCCAGTAGAGCAGCACAATAGCGTGGACCGGCACAGGGGGCTGGGGGCGATTCTCCCACACCACTCCATACAGGCAGAAGCTGGGGTTCTGCAGCACAACGTGGAACGGTTTCACCCGCGTTGGTTTCTCCAGGGTCATCCCCGCCTCGATGAAATGGGCGATCTGCATCCGGGAGCTGTCAGCCCCTGTCGGTCAGACACAAAGCAAAGGAGGCGCCGTTAGCCTGCTGTGATTTCCAGCTGGCAGAAAGGCCATGAGGCTACCGAGTGTTGCAAACCACAGGCCCTGTCCCTCAATTTCCCCATCTTTAAAATGGGGATCATGATGCAGTTCTGGGGGTTGCTGGGATTCTAATGTTAGCTTCATATGTCCTCCTTCCCTATGCTCCCTCTGACCCCCGTGCTCTGGGCATTCCCAGCCTGCCCCTTAGCTACTGCTAGCCTGGGTTTGTATTATACTCCCTGAAAGCCAGTGTAGCATGGTCCATATTTATAGACCTCTAGCAATGGGAGCAAAGCCCTCTAGAACCTACATTCCCAGGACTAAAGCAAACCTCTTTTTTACTCCAATCTGCCTTGGTAAATGACCCCAAGATCTATGGAAGTTCTCCCCCTCACCTGCCACAAAGTGCAGTCAACCAGTGGAACTCCTTGCCAGATGATGCTGTGAAGACCAGGAATTTAATAGGGTTCAAAAAAGAACTAGATAAATTCATGGATAGGTCCCTCAATACTTATTAGCCACGACGGGTAGGAAAGGTGTCCCTGGCCTCTGTTTGTCAGAGGCTGGGAATGGGTGACAGGGGAGGGATCACTTGATGATTTCCTGTTCTGTTCACTCTTTCTGGGGCACCTGGTGCTGGCCACTGTGGGCAGACAGGACACTAGGCTAGATGGACCTTTGGTCTGACCCCGTCTGGCCGTTCTTATGATGAATAGCCCTGGTATCACATTAATAGTCGCGACTCCAATTCTGGCTACAAATGTGACTAGTACCAGCAGTGTAAATAGGTTACAATCAAAATTGTCACAATCAACACACACCTGATAAAACAGCCATAGTGGCAGTGACTGTAATTGTGATCAGGACTGAAATGTCAGTTAAGGTCGTGGCAGTGACTAGATGCGTGGGCAAGGGCTGTCATTTCAGTTGATTGCAGTCACGACTAAAAGTCTGATGGCAGCTGTTGTGTCAGTTAAGTTTGTATTTATGGGTGTGTTGACAATTCCAGTCCTAATGATTATTTGATAATAACTGTGATTGCATATGAGAGCAAAGACGGCTGTAAATATGATTAACATAACCACTGGGTATTTCTGGTGGTAGAGGTACAACACATCAGCTTCATCATGTCTGTGATTAGACATTGTGATAAAAGGGCAAAAAAAGAGATTGAATTGGCCGGAATATTGAAATTTTTTTAAAAAGTTTCAAATGGAACCAAGCATCCTATTTCAGTTTCAACCCTTTTAAAAGGATTTTCAACTTTTAAAAATAAAATGAATGGAAATTTGGAAACAAAACAACCTGAAAAACCAAAACCATTTATTTTCAAAAATATTAAAATAAAACATTTAAAAAAAATTCATAATTTTTGGTTTAGGGTTTTTCCCCCCAAAAAAGGACAATTCGGGGGGGACGGGGGGAACCCCCACAAAAGTTAGTGAAAAAGTTTCTGGTGTTGCCACATCTGCAAAGAATCTGCCACAGAATTTTACTCGGCGCCAGCTGGGACTAACATCCAATTCATATTAATACGCCTACGTTTGCGATTGATACGACCGGGCTGACAATTTCCAGCCTTGCCTCTGAGACACGTAACGAGCGGGAGGCAAACAGGCCTGTCTAAGGCACAGGGTTTGGGCTTTGCCTCCCAGTTCCCGGTCGAGGTGGCAAAGCCCAGATGTTGCCCTTGGCTACCGTACCTCTGAGGCACAGGAAGTGCGGGAGGTGCAGGGCTGCCCTGGCCCGGGCCGGCTCCGCCCGGATGCTGAACAAGGGGCCAGCCACCATCCATTTCGGAGTGCTCCGTGCAGCCAGGTGCCGATCCCAGGAGTCGTATCCGTACTGGACAGTCACGGGGGCCCGCACCTCGAACCCCAGGTCGGTTTCAGAGCAACGGAACGTGCCTGCCTTGGGGAGGTGAACCCTGCACCGTGCGAGGAGGAAAAAACAACCAGGGCTAAGCCGTGCTAGATGGAACCACGAGCTGCAGCGAGCTGGCTGGTCTCCCTCCAAGGCTGACAGGGCGGACCCAGCGGTGGGCAGAGCCAGGCCGGGTCCACCCCTCGGAGTAGAACAGGAAGCATGAGAAGCGAGGACACCAGCTCAGCCGGCTGGCACCAGGCTTGCTGCCAAGCTTGGCCAACCCCTGCCGGCTGACCCCGAGGGAGGGAAACTGCAGTGGGCGCCATGGGCTGAATCCCCTGAAGCGGCGCCAAAGGAACCCTCCAAGGAGCTGGCAGAACCGTCGGCTGACGAGTCTCCCGAGGAGACAGGGCCTGGGAGCAAGGGAGCCTACCGACAAGCAGGGCTCGGCAGTCGCCCATGGAAACCAGACTGTCCGGTTGTGTTGCTGAAACCACAGTTAGCGTGTTTCAGTCGGACCCGCACTGGCCCACGCACACTCGCGCGGGGCTGGGTATCACGAGCGGCCCGGCTATATTAACCTGCTGGCCCCCATCTCGGCCTCACTCAGGACTGAAGCAAAAAGCGTCTCGTCCGTCCCAGGACTGGCTGCTCCGAGCCGCCGGCCTTTACGGGGGCTAGAGACATTCCCTCCGCCTCCTGGCCGGCACGGACGTGCCCGGTCAGCGCAGGGGAGGGGAAATCCCCCACGATTGTTGCGTTTTCTGTCTTCGCAGCCTCTCTAACCTGCCGGAGCATCCACAGTCCCTGGGGTCACCTACCCCGGGCACTTGCGCTGCTGGGTCACTGAGGCCCCGCTCGGCCAGCTCCCCGCGCCCGCTGGGGCAGACAAGGGGGTTAGCACCCGTGGGCATTCTCGTGCGATTCGCTAGTGAGGAGGGATGGTCTCGGTGCGATCGCCAGCCCGTGCACACCGCCGGCCTCCCCGCCCCAGCGCTCACCTGTACGTCGCCTGGCTCCCCGCCGGGCCCCCGACAACCTCTGGTTTTACTTCTTCTGGAGGATCCTAAAACACAGGAACAGGCCTTAACTCGGCTACCCTGGGGACGTCCCACGCCGAGCTCTCCCCAGGAGGGAATCGCGTCTGCTGCAGCCAAGAGCGGAGCCTGGCCCTACGTCTGTGACTGGCACCTGGCAGCAGGGTCCCAGGTGAGTAGAGCTGCCAGGTGCCCGGTACCGGCCCGGCCACGTGCGGCATTTTCTGTTTGGTTTTTTGCTCAACAAGATTGGTCCCTCCCCCACCCAACCAATTTTTCACCTGCCACGTTCGATACTTTGGGGGAAAGTATCTGGCAACCCTACAGGTGGCCAAATGGCAGGGGGGCTGACAGCCACGCCGGGCCCCTGAGCGAGGGGGGGAGCCCCAGCTCCATGCTCCTGGAAGGGGCGGGGCCTCAGTCAGAAGGGGCGGAGCCTCATTGCTCTCCCCCCAAACTGCGTGGCCCCTCCCCCAGGGCTGTCTGAAGCGCACGGCACGGCACGGCACGCCCACCTCCCCAGGCAGCTCTAAAGCCGCCCACGTCTAGGGCTCCGGTGGTGACTCAAAGGACTTCCGGCCCCTTTGGCTCAACAGGCCCCAGGGCAGCTGCCGTCTTTACCCTCCCCCCCATTGGCCTGCCCAGGGCCCCTATCACAACGCCGGTGCCTGGCTGTCGTTAGCTAGCCGAGGTGGGACCCTCGTGCCAGGCGGGATCACAGCCCGGGCTGCAGCCAGAGGGGTTCCCTGGAGTCTCGGAGCGACCGGCTGCCGGGGGCGCGAAGTGCCTCTGCCCGGAGAGACGGGACGCTCCCCGCACGGCTCCCGTCCTCACGCCCAGGGCTCAGCCATTCCCTGTGTGACACGAGCATCTCCCATCGTGCCACGGAGCACTGCGGGCGCACCGCCCACTGGGCCTCCAGCCCGACCCCGCCGTACCCCAGGCACTGCGCCCACTAGGCCTCCGACCTGCCTCCGGCCCGACCCCGCCGTACCCCAGGCACTGCGCCCACTAGGCCTCCGACCTGCCTCCGGCCCAACCCCCAATGTACCCCAGGCGCTGTGCCCACTAGGCCTCCGACCTGCCTCCGGCCCGATCCTCAGTGTACCCCAGGCGCTGCTCCCAACAGCGCCACAGACGCCAAGTAGTGCACCTGCTGGCCTTGTGGAAGGCGCATCACAAGAGAGATTAGACACCCCACACTTAACACATGCAACTGGCACAATCCCTGTAGCCGGGCGTAAAGGAGACAGCAGGTTCCCCACCCCTCTCCTGAATCTACATTTAGGGGTGGCTCCTCTGGGCTACCGTAACACGTGTAGCAAACAACAGTAATTAGGAAGGTATTTTTTTCAGCTGTGAAGACCTGGCCCATCCCTCAATTAGCCATTATCTGACTGGCTCACTAAGGATAATACCACTTACTTACAGTGTCTCAACTAACCCCGCCCCCCGCCCAGCACACAGTGTGAAATCACATGCCCACAACAAAGAGGAGGAGACAATAGAATACAAAAAGAAAGAGACTGACGGACATAAGCGGGGGAGGGTGGATGGGGGGGGAAGAGTCACAACTAATCCCTTACCTCCTCTCTGGGACACAGTTTGCATTTCTCTGTCCGCCAGTGGAGTCCGGTGGGATCTTCCCTCCTGCTTTGTTTTCCTGCGGCAGGCCGGGAGACGACATTTCAAGTCACACACACGCCAGGGGACGCTTGCGTAAGGGCAACTGGGGTTTTTTGGGTCGGTGAAAAACAAGCGGGATCAGAGCAGAGGCATTAACTGAAGACGGGAGGGCATTGGCGCTGCTCAGTGTGAGAGACCAAGGGGGATTGCAGGAGGTCTGGGGAGACGGGGCTGGAACAGGTGTGGAGGGGAAGGGATTACGAGGGCGGAATCGGAGCCAAACGGAATCGGAGCCAACAGCCAATCAGCCACACTGTCAGAAGCAGCCCGCTGGCACCGTCCAATGGACAGACTCTCTCCAGATTCAAGGGGAACACTGGGCAGATGTCCACAAGCCCCTCAAACTACCCCACTTTGCCCAGCCAAGCAATCATCAAGTGCTCCATCCTCTGTCGCCCACTCCCAGCTTCTGACAAACAGAGGCTCGGGACACCATTCCTGCCCATCCTGGTTGACAGTCATTGATGGACCTACCCTCCATGAATCTATCTAGTTCTTTTATGAACCCTGTTAAAGTCCTGGCCCTCACCACATCCTTGGGAAAGGAGTTCCACAGGTTAACTGAGCTGCATGAAGAAATACTTCCTTTCTTTTGTTCTTAACCTGCTGCCTGTTCATTTCACTAGGCGACCCCTAGTTCCGGTGTTACGGGAAGGAGCACATAACTCTTCTTTATTCACTTGCTCCACGCTAGCCCTGATTTTATAGACCTCTAGCTATAAATGTTGTACGGTTACAGTAAGAAAACAAACGAGTGAACATGCACTCAAACGGTATTCCAGAGAAGGCCTGCCCATCTATGTACGTGAAAGAACTATAATGTGCCGTGCCTACACAAGGATCATCCGCCCAGCCACAGAAATGCAGCCACCCCTGGGATCGGGCTCAGCTGCCCCACACAGAGACACGCTCTTTACCGTGGGTGTTTTGGAAGGAAAACGAGTGTGACATTTAAGACCTGCTCCAGGAAGCCAATCCCAGGCTTTGCAATCCTCCATCAACCCCCATGCGGCCCCTCCCTGAGGGGAAAGGGCAACAAGGCCCAGAGGGAACGGCCCAAACCCCGGCAGTGCCCCTGGTTGGACATACAGGCCTGGGGCTGCCGCAGGTCGTCACAGCAGTGACTTTCCCTCCACCTTGAGCCACTCTCAACTCACCAGATGACTGTGTCCCGCCTGCCCCAGGGGGAATCTCCTGTCCTGCCCGAGCGAAGCGGCTCTCTGGTCCTAAAGATGAGACAGGACAGTGACAGAGCAGAGGCGATCTCCGCGGAGAAGTGCTAAGCAATCAGCTTCACAGAGCAGAGAACACACTAGCCCTGGAGTGCCGCTCTCCTAGGCCCCGCACTGCCAGCCAGACACACGGCCAGAGGGGGAGAGCGAAAGACTAGCATTGCACGATTCGCACAGCACACGCAGCTCTGCAGGATACCCCGCTACCTCACCAAGGAGCCGGGGAGAGACACACACAATAAAGCACAATCTGCACAGCATGACTCACCTGAACCCCCGGCTTCAGCGCACGTGGACGGCTTCTGCTTTTCTTGTGGGTGGCTCGAAGCTGGGGGAGAGATTTAGAACAGAGTCACCTTGAAAGGTAAAAACAGGCCAGGACTAGAACGGGACATAATTTATTCACGACTCTGTGGACAAAAAAGATGCAGATTCAGCAACCCCAAAATGTGGCGTGAATCGGTGTCCGTTTGGCTGGCTTGTTTATTTAAGGAAAAAAAATATTTTCTTTAATCTGGAAAATGGCGCATGGACATATTGGAAACATTTTTGATTTTTCACTTTAAAAAACAACTTTTGGTTTCAAAATTTCATTTCGTTCCTTTTAAAAGCAATAACCTCCCTCCCTTAGAAACAGCCAGAAGCAAAATGAAAGTTTTCGATTTTGTCACAATAAAATGAACATTTGTACTGAGGTTTACAGGATCTTTTGAAAAGGGGCATTTAATTTGAAAGATCCCCTTCTTAACTGCAGGGTTTTGTTTTTGTTTTTTGAAGGGCCACGACCCTGTCCTCCCCAGGTGAGTGCCCTATCCCCTAGGCCACGCGGGAACCTGCCCCACCACCTTACTGTCAGGGCACCCCTCATCCATCCTGCTCCGGGGCTGACCGGTTCTGGCCGTCCCGACCTGGGGGAGGCAGGACTAGAACCCGCGACCCTGTCCTTCGCAGCCTCCATTATATTGTGGGAAATTCAAAGCCTGCCTTCATTTACAATTTCGATATGTCTAATTTACATCCCTTTTTCGATAAAGGGATGTAATCTAGTATCTAGACATAGCCATATGGGCTAGGCTAGGGACACCATCCTGGCTAATAGCTATTGATGGAGCTAACCTCCATGAATTTCTTTTTTGAACCCTTCACAACATCCCCTGGCAAGGAGTTCCATGGGTAGACGGTCTCTCAGCAGGCCCCTAATCTCCTGCAGCACCCCTGCTCTCAAGTGAGTAAGTCCCTGTGCACAGGCACATGGGAGAGTGGAAGTAGCAGCTGGATGGGTGGGGTGCAGGGAGCTTTTACTCAGTTTGACCTTTTCCCCCCAAACTGGAGCACAGAAGTTTTCTCACAAAGCCAGCCAGGCCCAGGGCACGCTGGGACGTTTGCCCAGAAACCATTGCACAAGAGCCCTCTGGAAATCATGAGCAACCCCTGTAGGAGGGAAGCACACGTAAGCCACTCGTGGTCTGCAGGGGGAATCGAACCTGGGGCCTCTGGAGCTGAACGCGGGGCCTCACCAGCTAGAGCTAAAAGCCAGCGCGCTCCGAAGCCTCCTTACTGGGCCTGGGGGCCAGCGGGTGGGACCCACCAGACCGGAGCTCCGCGCCTGGTGTGAACGGGGCGAAGCGCCAGGAGCCGAGGGAAGCACACGTAAGCCACTCGTGGTCTGCAGGGGGAATCGAACCTGGGGCCTCTGGAGCTGAACGCGGGGCCTCACCAGCTAGAGCTAAAAGCCAGCGCGCTCCGAAGCCTCCTTACTGGGCCTGGGGGCCAGCGGGTGGGACCCACCAGACCGGAGCTCCGCGCCTGGTGTGAACGGGGCGAAGCGCCAGGAGCCCGCTCCGGATTTACCTGCCCGCAGTGCGGCCTCCGCCTCCTCCAGGCGCCGCAGCGCCGC